GTAATAAGTGTTCTCCAGGCATCCTTCATATACAAACACATCCACCAGACTGGAAGAGCATGTAGCATGACTCGTCACTCAACAGGACCAATTTCCATTAATCCACTGTCCAGGTTCAGTGTGCCTTGCCCCATGCCAATTGACAGTGTGCATTTGTTTTTTGTTTTTATCAACATCTTGTGGGGTGCATCTCTTCCATGAAATTCCATGGCATACAGCTCTCAATGTGTCATGAAAAAACTTATAGGATTGCCTGTGACTGCTCACATCTCCAAATACAGATTCTCTAGGGTCTGACAACAAGATGAGGTAACCAACCTTCTCAAGGTGCATCAACTCCTGTCAGTCAGTATTTTATGCCTACCTGGTAGTTTCTTGGACTCATTGTCACCTGTAGACTTCCATTTCTTCAGTACATTACAAACTGTCAGCCTAAGAATGTTTAATTGTTGCATAATAGCACATACAGACAATTTTCCCCAAAGGACATCCAACTATCCTTCCCCTCGAAAACTCTGTTAGCTCTTTCAGTGTACTTATTGTTCAGCGTACAAGTTCAAAATGAATTTCAAGCGATCTGCTGATCACCTTTATAGGCCAAACTATTTGCATAGTTTATTTTCACACCCATTTTCCTGCAATCAGAGGTGTGTCCCATGACTTTTGGCAGAATAGTGTATATGATGTCCCTTGGTCTATGAAGACCTTATCCAACCCTGAATACAAAGTAGTTTTACTGGTTTTGAAATTCAAGTCACACATCAATATGAATAATGGATGTGCATCACTATATAATTCTATGAGTACATGTGGGCCAAAGTGCCCATGTCACAACTATTTCATAGAATTTCATTCAAAATTTAATCAAAAACTTTTATTATCAATGTTGTTTCATATTCTAAGTTGCATATTTGAATTTTAAAAAAAATCATTTCTGAGACTACACTATCATTACTAAAAGTTATGCCAAGATATTGACAAAACTTGTATCACAACACAAGTGCAACAAAAGCTCGAAAACGACAATATTTTAGACATAAGTAATACATTTCTTATTTTTTATGTATATTTTTCTTGTATTTTTATAAAACTAAAACATAAAAATTAGAAATTTATTAGGTTAGATATGAAAACTTAAATGAATCTAACCACACAAAACACTCTGTGGCATGAGCTCAACAACACAAGACATGCTTGTATAACTTGAGCGTGCATTCTATTAACTTGATTGTTTGTTTATGCAAAGCTGCTTAGCATAAGGGCTATCTCCATACTCCGAGAAGGTCTAAATGCAACTGTAAAGAAATAAAACTAAATGAAAACTATATTATTATTATTAGTTTTGGCTTTAAAAATAAATAACTTGTGATTGTCTGCTACAATATGCAGTCCTTTTAGAAAAGAAAAAAAAGGGGTGTAATTTAGATCTATTATTTTTTTTTGTTACATGGTGGTTACACAATCAGTCAAATTGACCAAGACCAATATAGTGTTATGGTAGAAGAAAATAACAGATAATATATAGTTTCACTGAAAAACTTTTGATATTCATTGAGGAGGATCTAAAAATTATGCAAATGAAATCTGAAAACAGTACGATGAAAAAAGTATTTTTATTCTGAACATGAAAACCACCTTGCACTTGGACTGGCTTAGTAAAGGCTTTACAAGTTAACAGATAAATCTTTCATAGAAATACTTTCCCAAAACAATTAACAAAACACCTGCTAAATTTTATGAAGATACACTTGCTACATTAAAAGTTATAGCATGTGGTTTCATGGTAACATGGGGATTATCAGGTCAGCCAAAATGACCAAGCTTGTGTATGGTGAGATAACTTGTGGAATATCTGCTGCCAGACAGTTATCCTCCCTCTAGTCACCAGGTCAAAATTATTGACAGGGGCAGATAGCCTTAGCAGCTTTACCATAACAAAGACAGGATGAGTAAGTTTAATAGCAGTATGAATCAAACTTGGGACAATCAAATCATGAGCCCCTACCCCAAAGATGAACAAACTTGAAGTAAAGAAACAACTTATTTGAATAAAACTTGGCAGAGCCCAGATACCCCATTATATAGCTTTGCACTTTACAAATATGAAAGAAATATTTCAATTACTTGGATAGCTGTAATAATTAAAAATATACACATTGGAAACCCTAATTTGGATTGGTTTCATGACAATCAAACTAAACATAGTTTCAGTTAATCAAATTTTGGAATGCCTGAACACTAATTTTGATTACTTAATTAATTTTATGAAAATATATGTAATCATAATTTTAATTAATCAACTACTGAAAAAATAAAAAAGTAATAATCAGAAACTTTTATTTTGATTAATTGACATAATCACAATTTTGATTAATTGGTCAGTTTACTTGACACTAATCAATGTTATCTTTGCTCAAAGGTAATCAATTATATTGATTAAATCTCCCATCTCTAATCTACAATGTGTTTTTCTCAATATTAACAACCAAAATAGCAGATATTGGATTGAAACAAACATAGTTAATGCTAAAATAGGCATATCATATAACTTTGCACTGAGATATTTCTTTAGTAATACTATGCATGGATATAACATATAAATGCTTTATTATATTGTAATATAAACAGATGAAATATCATTAGGGTACAAAGAAGAAAATTCAAATGTTTATTTGCTCCATATATTATCATTACAGCTAATCAACTGATTAATGGCTCAATTCATCAATTACATATGTTTAATCAATGTTTAATGTATTCCTCAACATGCAAAAGAAAAGACAATGATAGCTTTAGTAGCTTTGCGATAACAAAGACAAGGCAAGGAAGTTTGATGGCAATATTTCAATTATTGAAATAACTAAATAACTAAAAGCAGTAATAAACAGAAAGAATAATTTCCATTAGTTTATTTAATTGTAATTTCAATTAATCAATTAGTTTATGTGACACTTCATATTTTTGCTGCTCATAGGTAATCAATTACATCAATTAACTCTCTCACTATATACTTGGTCCGACGGACCAACCTTGTAACCATTTTGGGCTCATAATTTTCATACTATAACTATAAAAGTATGCATATCTTCACGAAATTTTGTAAGTTAACAGTAAACATAACAAGGCTTTCATACACAAAATAGCAGATGTTTTTTATATTAAATTTATGATTTTTTAAGCAATAATTTGCTCATGAATTTTTTCTTTTTGAACATGCAAAATAATTTTGATTTTAAGATTAAAAATACTTTTATGCAACAGAAAATTGTCAAATTTTACACACAAAACTTTCATAACCTCCTAATAACCTCCAGATAATTATCAAACTTTTTTTAGAAAAACTTGATATTTTATCTATTTTCACTAATGTATCTGTGTGGGTTTGGTTGATTTGACCAACCTTGTAACCACCATAAAAAAATTAGGAAATAGATACAAATTATGCTTTTTTCATTTTACAATGACCATAAATAGCTTAAATCTGATAACATTATACATCTATATATATTTATTTTATTGACTTTTCTGCTGTGTCTGACTAATATTACAGAAGTTGCAATGATGCAGCACATGTGCTCTCATGTTACCGTATCGAAAAGTATAAATCTGGTCTTTACAAAGTGACCGGTCTTGGCTTTGTTCTAATGGATCAGTGTTTTGTAAAATAGTCACATTTCAGTTATAATATACATATATGTAAATACATCATTACTATTTACAAATAAATTATTAAATTTCAGTTATTTTTCTTAAAACATAGAACAGTAAATAAGGAAATATAG